TCATTTATACTCACAATTCTGCATGTTGAAAGGAACCAATCGAAAAGCACCCAAAAACTACAATATAAAATGTTTCGATTATCTTCGTTTCTTAATATTATTTAGAGAATCGAAATACATTTGTCGTCCAAGGAACTAGTTGAATTGGAACGTAAAGAAATAAATTAATTCGAAAATATGGGAACCTGCCATAGTTTTGTCTGGATCATGAGTGATATTGATTAAAGAAAAGTTTAAAAATATAATTTCTTTTCAAAGAGATGGTACACAAATAGTTTATGTCAATTTCGTAAAAAGGTGATAGTACATTGTAGCAGTTCACATATTTTATTTACGAAGTAGGTTTACATAAAAAACACGCTTAAAAATAATTTTACTCTAATGAATACAAAAGTTTAATACCGTTTAGTTCCAGATCCTATTATAAACAATTGCTTATTTCTATTTTAGATGTTTTTTTACTGACATTACCCAGTGGACCTAAGCAAATGCAACCAAGAATTATGCAAAAAGCTTCCTTTTTTACTGAGAAAATTCATAATTGATAGCTGGGGCAAATAAATGCCATTATTTACTGATCGTTGTATATGAAAACCACATGGTAAAATAAACATTATGAAATATTTTAGAATATTACATAGTATGAAGATTTGAAACAGCTTTTGAGGACTCTTAGATGTAGGCTGCGTGTTAGAGTCCGCCAGAAGTTATGGATATTTAACCCATGTGGTTGTGACATTGCGTCACATGATTGTCTCACAGCATGTACTGCAGCTGAATCATCCCATAATCTATAATCGTTTCTATATCATTTATCCCTAAATATCACCCCATCATTATATACATTATATGGAAGGCAACGAAAACCATCTCCTAATCCTCTGCCTGAAAAAAAGAGGTCGTGAAGCCTTCTCCTCCCCCCTTACTCTCATCAGTAATCATTACGGCACTCCTCTTCATCATTAACAACATCGACATCGCCAACATCGTCGTCGTTATCATGGTAATCATCATCATGAACCATATCGGCATCGGCATCATTGACATCATCATCCTTATCGAGATCATCATTGATATCATCATTTCCGAACAATGAAATCTCTCTGAAAGTCCACCTCCTGTTAATCGAGTTAATGGGCTAGTTTTTGTAACGACACTGAAACCGTTACAGCAAGTGTAAATCGTATCTCTGCATATCACCCACACCCCGACTACCGACCCGTCTCTCAACAGAAATTTTCTTAATTTACTTCTTTTAAATGACCTCTTTCACGAAAACTGTAAAAAAATCTAGTACATTAATTTTGAGTCTTTAAAATAAAAATTATTGACACTGTAACGGCATTTGCGCGATATGCCGTTATGTGCCTCGGCTTGAATTCTTGTATACATCGCGGAGTGTGTTCAGGAATCGTGTAACAATTAAGGGTGGTCTCTGATATGGAACCACAGCTTTTCGGTTTCATTTCATCTAATGCGTCGGTGGATATGAACGTGACTTTTCGTTTGATTCTTTGAATTAACAAAAAGGCTTTACTTATTTTTCCTTACCTTCGCGGAAGAATGTGCAAGTCACTTTATCAGGCAAGGCAGTTTGTAAGGCAGTTTATCTTTGTCGAAAGTCGGATTTATCGACTTACCCCCTGACTCGAAAGCGTTTTGGATGCGCCCGGAATCTTTGTCCAGCGCTCTTAAAATCCCAATGCTTGATTTCTTTGGACTTAAAGAATTTGGAAAGGAGGAGAAAATCTGTATCTTTGAGCTTCGAATGTGTCATACATACTCAAAAGGTTACACAAGAAAATAGAGGTTTGTTTTCATGACCCTAGGCAACTTCTTGGAATATTAAAAATGAAAATGATTTAAACGTTGAATGAATTTTAATCGAGAGGATGCGGAGATGTGGAAAATGAGCCCCCAATTATAAAAATGCTTTCACAAAGATGGTACTTATGGAAGGCACTTACATTAATAGAGGAGGAAATGCAAAATAAAAGTTTGTTTTCAAATTTGCTCATTAGAATAAAATAGATATATTCTTAAATACCCTCTAATAATAGATATTTTTCGTAAAATGGAAATTTTCCTCATATTAAGCAATCGGTCTTCAAAACGATCGCACTTTATGGAAACAATAATGAGCCCTTAATGTACGTTTCGCTTTATACACTAATGATAAAAAAAATTCACATTAATTACAATGTAAATATTAAAACGTATCCTTATTTCACTGTTTCAGGTGAGTTACGAGTTTCAATTACAACAAAAGAAGATCACAAATGGCTCTGTTTACGGTGAGTACAGGAGTAGGTATCAAATGCAAATGCAAATGCAGACTCTAAGACCGTCTTTTATTAAAAAACCTTTCTTCAAAATAATACCACAATGTGGTGAATTACCTAGTAGATTAGATCGATTATGAGGCAGCTAAAAACACTTCCATGTACCACCATGTGATTACTAGGAAAGTGTAGCATGAACCAAATATTTTTATTGCAAACATGAGTAACTTAGAAATGATGAGAAAATTATTAGGGAATATTTCAGTTGAAAAAATGTTTCTTATATAAACAAATCAAGCTCTTAATTGTGAATTTCCTGAATGCTGTGAATGAACGTGGTAAATTTTCACGCCATGAGCAATGAGTGTGTTTCCTGGAAGGTCACAGGAAAAGGTTTCGTAAGTGCTGCGACAAAAAGATAATGGTCTCTGTGAGCCCAAATTGCCGCGTTTTGAACAGCCCGGCCTCATGTCTTTGTGCTGAGGATTAATGATGATGGTAGCAGTTCAATATTAGTACATTTTCAGTTGCTGATATGTCGCTTTCAGGTCTAACGTTATAAAACTACGATGTCAAAGTGTGTCTCAGTTTGTGGAAATAAGTTTCCTAACTTTTTCAGTTTTCATTTCGTAAACATTATTAGTATACAGAAGTTTTCGAAACCAATAATATACTATTAAATTATATTTAAAAGGTAGTTTTCTAAATATTGTTAATCACAAAATTAATCTAATTACAAAATTTAGGAAGTAAATAGGAGGTATGTTATGTTTATGACAGTACTTTAAGGTGATATATCACATTAACACGGGTAACTATTACATTGTTGTTATTGGTATTACGACTTATAATAATTATAATAATAATTATTATTTTATTATTATTTATTATTTTATTATTATTTATTATTTTATTATTATTATTATTATTATTATTAACACAGGTTCATAATAAAGAAGAGAAAGTTTCCCGTAACTTAGTGAGCCGCAACTTTATCAAATCCATTGCCGGAAGTTTTACCTTTTCTGTCGCTCATCCTACTGTCTATTAAAGTGATGCATACTTTCCTTTTTAAACCCAATACTCAAGGTTAGTAGATGTCATTCATTTCCGCTTGTGTAACATAACCGACTTTTTTAAACAATAAGGAAATATAACATTTCATTTATGCCTCGAGGTCACCGATTTAAAATAAGAAAGAGCATGAAAAATGAATATGTGATCCTCATCCTGAGAAACTTTTCTCAATATGTCTATTTCCTTAAGACATTACAAAAAATCTAAATCAATTATACCATGTATAATTTCATTACGTGACTTCGAATTCGTGCCAATTTGTTAAAGCCGTAAGATGTAATTATAATATTCATATCATTACCCATTAATTAAATGATTGTGTACCGGTGGAAAACCTCAAACCAACCGACATGCTGAGTAATTTTGATGAATGTGAAGTTGGTGGAGATTAAAGGGTAATGAAATGCATATCTTACCGGAGAATTCCTTGCGCCACAAGTGGACCGCCTAATTTGTATGCGGTATATTGAGTATACATTTTAAAATGGTCAACTGTTGCCTTCTTGCACATCATTTCCTACGTAAATCGAAGTGCTTGTTGCAATGTCAACATTTGCTGTTCTCACGTTTTCTGATGAAAAAAAAATCATCATACTGCAGCCCAGCTTTGCACGAACATATATGCTACATTTGAAATTGCTAACTTCTCAAGTTTTTCACTTCTTTCTGAATTATGATTCATAATTTTTACCGTGTTTGGTTTTATTTCTGACAGGCTGATGTTTTTGTCCTCTTGGAATCAAGTTTTTTCGGGTTTGCAATTTTTGTTGGGTACATCGGTAAATACCTTTTTGATATACTGATATAATTTGATGATAAATGATTGTATATTTTAAAGTGTACAACTCTTCCCACCTCGTGTGAAGCTGGTGTGTCACTGTAGTCACGGTCTCTCCAGTGTTCACCATGCAAGGCGCTGACGTCTGAAGCCCTCTATGCTCTTATTTTCCCGCCGCGCCGCGTTGGAGTGTTGAATCATGCTAGCACTGGTTCCAGATTGAAACGCTGAACTGAAGAGTCGTTTTTTGGCGAGGATCTCGAGGGCAAGGATCAAAAACTAATTCCAGTTCCTTTTCACTCTCAGATATATTAGGTATGTGGCAAATTTGAAAACACTGGAGGCCACTGAGGGAGAAAATAACTAAAACTACAAACTGGGCATTAAAAGAGACGATTAATCAATTCTTGTATGGGTGCTTTCAATTACTGTAAAACAAAATATATAAATACAGAGATCACAATATAGAACTGTGCTGAATATGTCATTACTCGAAGACGCAAAATGTGGAGTATAGTCAATTATCGAAATTCTAGTTCAAGTCATTTACCAAAAAGAACATTTTAAGAACTCATCTTGAATATATGTTAGACGCAAAACAAAGGTTCTTCTCTTTTAAGTGCCTTAGAATTAATTGTTTATGTATTTCAAGCGTGCATTTGCCAATGAGATCTTCCCGAATGCAGAACATAGTTATTGCGTGAGTTGTGCAATTGTGCACGTGATGTCCATTAACAAGTGCAAATGCGTTAAAGAAAAGCTTATTCAAGGGTTTGGTTAGAAAACAATTAGTAACGTGTTTCATGCAAGAACTGTTCTTAACCATTTGAGACTAATTGCACACTCTGCGTACTGCCACTCACCAGCGGGAAATCACCTGCTCCAGAGGCCGCCCGCCGGTGGCCGAAGCGCCTGCCCGCTTCGCACAATGAACGCCCGCGAGCGTCACCGCCAGCGCCATCGAGCGGAAGATTACGTCACTATCACGGGACGGACGTCCGCGCGCAGGCACCGCCACGCTGTGACGGCGGTGCCAAGAAACACGACTATCGTCAAAGGGCGATGTGTGACGTCTCGTCCGCGTGACCAGGAAAAACTGAAGTTAAATCAATGGCGAAGGGGTTACGTTCAGGACACAACGAATGTGCTCGAGTTAGTGCAAAACTCTGAAGTAATTAGTGTTTGAATGTACTTAGCGTTTTGAAATTTCTTTGGGGAAAAATCTAGCTGATTAGGAGACTTGCTTCTGTTTTTTTGTCAGTTTACAAAAAAAAAGTCTATCTTACGCTAGTTCAGAAAATGTTATGTCAATTACGTGCCATGTAATCAATTATTTTAATTACTTGCCCTGTAATGGATTAAATCTTTTGGCATTTTTTTCTGCGACGACCACTCAACTAAGCTAACAAACATTTTAATTGTAATAATAGTTATAAAAAAATCATACCGGTGAAGTTTTACTATTTGTTTTTGATGTTCAGTTTTAATATTTTTTTCTTAACAAGAAATATTGAATTTGAGAAGAGCTTAAAGAGATTGACGCACTACTCTACTAAAATAACGTATTGAAATAGAAAATGGGACAAGTTTTCATTAACATTGAACTCCTAAACGTCTGTTAGCTTGACATTATGAGCTATCTAAGTAAAATGGGGAATGTGGGCACAAAATAATTGAATGCTATTATTAGAATAGAAATTATTACAGAGGCACTGGGGATAAAAGACCCGTGAATTAACTTCTGAATTTGGTGTTTCGTATTTCATTGTTCAACAAAACAACATTTTAAAATGAATCATATGTCTCAAAATGCAATAATTTACAGAAGTTGGAGATTCGAGAACATACGTTTGAAGCTAGTTGGAACTAAATAATTTTAGCTTCAAATTATTGTGTTAACTTTTTCTCGTTATCTGCAAATTATATGAATTATAAAATTAAATTAATTTATCTACAATTAGTAATATGTATTTTAACAATATATATTTTTTTTAAAATTAGGCATTGAAACCTTCCAGGCTTCTTTTCTTTCTTGCAGACATCTTTATTTTCAGTTCAAACACTGTGGGCTTACTTTGCGTGGTATAATGGAAAACTGTTAAATTCCAAAAGTTAACTTTCGTCTTTCTGTTCTCGTTAGACCTCCCTTTCAGCTCCTCCATTTTCTGTCTTGTTTATGTTTCCGATATTTCAGCGATGTCTAGGTATAGCAAACACACTCGTGGAAGTGAATCTGTCATAGTGAAACTCTTCAACTGTTAATCAGAGATTAGTGGAACAAATTATAAACTTGCTAAATTTCAATAGTAGATTTGTTGTGTAGATTGTAGAGTTTGTCATATACAATTTCTAAACAACATAATTTCGTTTTCACAAACAAAACTTAACTTCCCCAATCACGCCCTTGAATGCTGCAAAATTCATTCTTAGATCTAGATGATCTACATAAATACATTCAAAAATTATTTTTGCATTCATGGGTTGAAAATTCACAAGTTATTATTTATTGTTATGGATATTTTAGCATATATTTTGCATATCGTGAGTGTATTCTCTTAGAATTGTTAAGAGTAAAAAACCTTGTCACAGTTTTTTTTACTTATTGCATTAAGGATCCTATTTGAAGTTCTTTGAATATGTGTGTTCGAGATCAACCAAGGAATCTTTAGAAATTTTTGTAAACACTTGATCCGTACAATCTGATGTTTCCAGTATTCCTTGCGCCTGCAGACTCCAACTTTATTCCTATTATTTAATTCAAATTTTCTTATAAATGACTGAACTCCATTAATTTCCCCAAAATTGAATAATACAATATTTCTAATCTCTTTAATGGTTTCCGGGCACTTCATTTTCCGTAGTCATTCATCCCGCTAGTGTAGTGAATGTTTCTCTCCGCTGGAAAGTGAGATCCGCACCTTCGGCGGGCAAAGAATTTCCCCTTCCAGGTATCTACCCCAGGAAAGCTTCAAGCTCTCGACTGGTCTCTCGACATATTGATAGTGTGTGTGTGTGTGCGTGTGTGAGTGCACGTGAGAGTGCGCGTGAGAGTGCGCGTGAGAGTGCGCGTGAGAGTGCGCGTGGGAGTGCGCGTGGGAGTGCGCGTGGGAGTGCGCGTGGGAGTGCGCGTGGGAGTGCGCGTGAGAGTGAGAGAGAAGGAACACAGGAGAGGACAAGGAAAAGGAAGTAAAGATCCGCGCGCTACCCGTGAACCGTTCGTTAGGTAACTGCATCGGCATTCGCTTAGTATGTATCCAAAATAACACGTAAAAAAAACAATCAGAGCAGCAGACAGAAAGAAGTTTTCTTTAGACAGCGCAGCGGCTGAATTTCAACCTAGCTGTGTAGCTAGTGTTGAAAATCCACCACTGTCGGGAGTCGAAATGTAGGTCCGCCCAGTCAGAGTCACTGCAGAAATAGTGGCATGCTCGCTCTAAGTTGAACTCAGGGTTTTTTACTCAGCATTCTTGTTGTGTATCCATCAATTCGGCATTGTTAAATAGTTATAAAGTATGAGGTATTTACAAAAATTATGATAATTATCAATATAATTGTTAATAAGTAATATAGCAAAATAAAAATAATGTATTTACATTAAGAATAAATTAAATGTGCGAAGTACATGTCATATGTAAAATGTTACGTAGAAGTTCCGTATAAGCTATACAGCACTCACCCATGCAGTGTATAGTAAGCTCACAGACAAGGTTGAAATATCACAGAACTTTGCGAACGCTATTCAAACTTATTTTCTGTCATGGAGTGATCACATAATGCGCAATTCAAAGTGATATTACGTATGTCATCCAATAATTAAGTTGTCTACTTTTTCTCTGCAAACCACATGGTTTAAACTTAAGTCGGTATTGTGGGAACTTTCTTTGGGATATGATGCCAGTGCTTGATTTTCAGCAAGGGTTGCCATCAGTGTTGAAGTAAAAGGGAGGCCACTCGATAAGAAAACGAAATAATAAAAAGCACATTTATTTTTATAAATATTTACTTTTCACTAATATCATCTCTATTTCTTTCTTCTCTCCATTTGCGATTCAAGTGGAAAGATTGGTTCACAAAATGCAGATGACGGTGGTCTGAGCGTCTCTTTTTTTCCTTTTAGTCGCTAGACAAAAACACTACCATGCATACATGTGTCAGCGTTCAGAGAAAGGATATTCATGATTTTTATTCTAAATTAAACAAGAAACCATACAACGTAGTAGAGTTAGTCATGTGATACAATAAATGACAAATGTTAAACATTTATTAAAAAGATGACATTTAAAATGCAAAGAAGGGCGAGGGCAATTGATGTTAATGGAGGCCTGCCTTCCCAAATGGATGACGGTTGGCAACCCTACCTTCAACAGCATGCGACTTATCCGCGTTCGACAGTATTGCAATATGGAGCTGAAACTGGAAAGCGTGTCTGCTTGTAAACTCCGTTCTGTTATTCGCTTTTTCACAGCGAAAAAATGAAACGGCAATCAATATTCATTGCTAGTTATTGTGGATTTACCATGAAGGATACATGAGCATCCAAATGGTTTGCCAGTGGCGTGCGTGGTTTCTGGGAGGACGGCAAAATGTGCGTGATGGCGAGCGGAGCGGCAGGACCGTTACCGTTGAAGACATTGCGGCCATTATTGGCGTTGGGAATGTGTTGGACGAAGATCGACGCGTCAGCATCGATGAAGTAATTATTCGATTGCATCTTGGTGTGGAAATCGGACGAACCTGTCAGATGTCTGGTAGTATCAAAAAGTCCATGTGTGCAAGATGGGTTCCACGTTTGCTTACTGATGTTCACAAGCAACAACGGATCGAGGCGACTCGAGCTTTCCTGCAAACGCATCACACAGAGCGCTATCAACTGTTTTTCCCGTATTGACACTAGAGATGAAAGGTGGGTGCATCATTCAACTTCATAAACAAAGCGAAACAAACTGGTATGAAAGAAACCTGGTGAACGTACACACAAAAGGCTGACATCTGCCTCTGCGGGAAAAGTTATGGCTAGAGTGTTTTTAGACTGTGCGGGTGTTTTGTTGATCAATTATCTGCCCCGACGCTTCTATAGAACTGCTACTTGAAAGCTTGTCAGCTTGTTAACTCCGTATTGTTATTGACTTTTCAGAGCGAAAAATGAAACGTTTATAAATATGCATCGCCAGTTATTATGTGTTTATGGTGAGGATATGGTGATGACCATCTAAATGGTTCTCAGAGAGTTACTACATGGTCCTTACGGACATTAATCCTGCAAACGATAAACTACTAGACTTTCTGTCTCGGAACCTTGTTGCTCTTTCATTCTACTATATCATGAACGTTCCATTATGAACGTTCCATTATAGTGGATAATTTAGTTACAAAAATGTACAAATACTGAAGCGTGCATTAAAAGTGGGGAGAAAAATACCCACGGTCATTAGCAACCAACAAAAGTAGAAGGATGTATTATCCCACTTCTCTCTTAATAATTATTATAACTTTATTTATAATATGGACAAGCTTTGGAACCTGGGTACAAGAAATGTTCTCAAATGGGAGTTCCCATAAATGACAAGTGCTTACATTCTTTGCTTTTTGCAGATGATCAAGTAATTATGGCATCAGATCGGGAAGATAAGGAGTACATGCTTCCCAAATTAAAAGAAGAATACGAAAAATGAGGACTTAAAATCAACTTTAAAAACACAGAATATTTATGCATACGAGGAGATGCCTCTAATATTAATGTCGCCGAATGAGAGATAGCTAACGTTTCGAAATTTAAATATCTTGGGACTGTAATTACTGACGATGAGAAAATTGATGAAGATATAACTACTAGACTCGCAATGGGGAAGAATGCAATCAAAGCTCTGCATGGGCTTTTATGGAATAGTGTTTTGAGGCAAGACACAAAACGACACATATTCCACAGTATCGTGGAAAGTATAATATTATATGGAGAAGAAATGTGGCCGTTAACAAAACACCGTAGAGATAGAATACGGTCGGTAAAGCTCGACTTTATGAGAAGATCTTTTCAGATAACAAGACTGGATAAAATAAGAAACGAAGTGGTGTGGGAAAGAGCTGGGGTTCAAACAACCATAACCAGAAGACTAGAAAATAAAGCTCTTCAATGGTATGGACATGTCCAGAGGATACGAAATGAGAGATGGCCACAACAAATTTTAAATTGGATACTTGAAAGAAGACATAGAAGAGGTAGACCTGGTTTAACCTGGAAGAAATATATACATGAAGTTATGGAGGAGAAAGGATTGGAAGAGGGTCAATGGGAGGACCGAGAATTATGGAAATCGAAAACGGCAAACTCTAAGGGGTAGAAACCGTCGAAGAAGAAGAAGAAGAAGAACTGGAACCGTTCCACCATCCACGTTATTCTTTCGGAAATCTCCCTCATTGACTTCCATGTTTTTCCACGACTGAAGTTGCATTTTGGAGTATTTTGGTTTGCGACTGATGAATAGGTGAAAGACGAAATGAACCACTGAATACGGCGCCAAGACATAATCTGGTGTAACGAAGGTATCAAAAAACTGCTGTCAAGCTACTAAAATGTTTGGACAGAAACGGGCACTGTGTCAAGAAGTAGTGTACGAGTAGTAGAATGAAAATAAAATAGTGTCTCAAGGGTAAATAACCCGCTTGTATTTTTTATAAAATAGAGAAACTTAATTATTGGATGACCCTCGTATTTTTATCCAAGACACTTCCTGTTCAGATGAACTAAAACATAGAATTCAGCTGGATGGTTCTTTGGAAACTGCAATTTGTACTAGCATTAGCCGTGTGCAGAATCTTGATCCTCAACTTCATGATTGTCTAGATTTCGATATTCAACTTCAGGTTCACGTTGTCTTTCCGACACTGCTCCTGTGGACACAAAATACACCAATGGGCTTTGATTGATTGCTGAAATTCCCAATTCAAGGATATTTTGTATTAAGACTGGTATTATGAAATATTCTCTAAGAAAATGTTGCAAACTTCTAGGTCATGTACGTGGATCGAAGATGTAAACTTCGTGAAAGCAAATGTGTAGTGGAATATATATAATGTAAAGAATTTACACATATGATATTTGTCCTTGATTGGATGGCAACTCATCGCGCACTCGTATTTGACAGGTACAAATTTTGGCGCATTCAAAGCTTTTTCGGGTATCTAACAAACGCCAGCGCAATATGAGGTACCCTCCCATCAGTAGCAAATTTCACATATGAGATTTTCCACTAAATGTCTAATGACAAAATCTAAGCTGCGACACTCCTACAATGCTCTAGAAGTTAATAACATTTATTTTGAAACATCCTGTAAACGGATTATTGTGATGGGAATACATACTTGTAGAATGTGAAATTATATAAATGAAAATAAGAATTCCTGTTATACAAATGTTTCATAGTTTTCCTTCAAATATTTTTATAATTTTTCAAACATTGTCATGTCAAAAACTTACCAATTATTGATTTTTCAATAAATATAATCGGTGATTCGAAGAGCAGAACCATTGGAATCGTCCAGAGTCCCGACATTACGAGCATTCCAAGAAACTGGGGAATCTACACACGAGAGAGTATTAAATTATTACATTTTATGGCAGTATACTTTTGTTACAGTATTTAAAAGTTAAATAGCAATTTTACAATGGACACCATTTAAGTCATTCTCAACGTTGATAACACGTAAAAGTGGTACAGATTAACTACAAATAGTGTTAGCAATCGAAATCTAACATTTACTATAATATATCCAAAGAACTATTTCGTATATTTTTTCATTTACTACCTTTCCCCAAAATATTGACTCATCGGATTCATGATCGTAAAGTTAATGTATATATTTGTCAAATGTGTGTTTTGAAGAAAAAATAGGGGAATATAACTAAAAATATGTTCTGTTTTTTAGGTAACACTTGACCTACGCAGGCGATCATTGGCCGGGTGATTTGCATTGTAATTTCAAGAGATAACTATTAGGTTCCCCTGAATTTACAAAAATGTCGTATTATCTTACGAGAGGATTAATCATTTGATGCAAGTCGTAAGCACTTTGTAACGTTAATATTATAGATATTTCTCAATTATGGAGCATGAAAGTTTAGAAGATATTTCAACTGAAAATATATGTACTGTATTATTAGTAATTTTCTCACAAAATGCAAAATATGTGTATCCCATTAATTCTGTATATTTTCTTTAAAGTAATATACACTTACCACATTTATATCAGCTAAATAAACGGGCGACTGAATTACTCCACTGTATATTTCCAAAATGGGGAAGTGAAGGAGATAGACTCCGTAGCACAGTCGAGACAGGGGCTGGAAGAAGCTCCATGACAAGATCGTGTTGACGATTCCTGGAGCAGAACGATTTGTTTTAGCTTTATCCACAGACGGAATAGGGTAATCAAATTAAATTACTGAGCAACTGGGCACACTCGGTATAAATTAATTTTAATGGTTAAGAGATAAGAACAAAAATTGATTGTTAGAAGATAAATTACATTCGAATCATTTCTTATATAAACTTTTTCGTGTAGCTCCATCATTCAAGTTTGTATTGAAAAAGACGAACATTAATATTTTTTTTGGAGAGAAGACTAATCAAAGGAGTGTTATTAATAAAAATGTATAAATTATTATTAACTAACCTAAGTATTATTCTTAACATTAATGTAGTTATGTTTAATTTCGGTTCCATAAGTAACATTTTGCAAGTAAATTTATTTACTTTTTTGAATAAATATGTTTATATTGTACTATTTTTTGTAAAAATCAAATAAATTGTTCACCAATATTAGGGATACTTTGTCACACTAAACCAATAACGAACTGTAATTAATAAACAAGACCTGTTGTAGCGTAATTGCTGTCTTAGACTTCTGGCATACATATTCTACATCATTTGTATTTCTATATATTTAACATTAATTTTTCATATTTTCATGTTATTCTATATTAAAGTAATGGATATTTATTAAAGTTTTAATTACATGTTTCCTACTTATTTAAAGTCATTCATACTTTTTAAAAATCTGTACATTTCCATTGGTAAAAACGCTTCATAACTAATTTAATAACATATGCCGTTTGTAGTTTCTGAAATATGAAGCCAATATTTGCCGAGCTTTTCCTTTCATGTGTGTTTCGATTAATAAATTAACAATTTCTTTATCTCACATTTCATAAGAACAGGTTCATAAAAATAGGCCTGTTTTAAGATCCATAATTGTATCATTGATCTAGAAGATAAGCGCAGCGCTTATACAATAAAGAGTTTTAGAATAATTATGTAAAACAATTGATTCTTCAAAATCTGTACGTATACTATTAAATTCATAAGATATTTGGTACTAGGGCATTTTGTGACTTTTAATATTTCATTTTGACTATTTTATTTGTCTATTTCGTCTTGTAAAATCATAGAAATCTCTTATAAGATATGAACTCTACTGACATAAGTTCAGTCTAGAACTTTGGAGCGCTTCTTTTTTCGATTGAAATTCGTAGCACATTTTAGGCTTTGCACTAAAATGCATTATTGCACTTTATTAACCAAGATATTGAAATAAATCTCCTCTTATATGATAGATCTTTCTTCTCGCAGAAAGCATACCTCCATAGCCCTGATCGCAGGCAAAAATGATCCATCCCAGGCCTAGGGACCACATGACTCGGAAGAGAGAGAGCCAGAACGCGATCTCCACGCCGTTGTACACATAGGTTGGCTGTTGGAAAGGGTAGGCTCCGTACAGGGCAGCCAACATCAGAACGGTGGATAAGGTCCAGCCCAGTAATATATGCCACTGTGAACAGAATGATTTATGATTATATCATCGTGCAGTCATAAAATGTCATTCGATGCTGAATGACATTTAATTAGATGTGACGCGATTGTTATCGAGAAAGACTGAACATGATCTGTAGTCTTTAGAGAACAGTGAACCTATTCGTTCGTAATTCACGAAAATTTTGTAATCCTGAAGGGGAGTGTTAGTGTCTCTAAAATTCATCCAGCTTAATATTCCGAGGACGCAAAGGAGTGCCTTGAGTTGTTGGAGTATTTTTACCGAGAAGGTGATGTCTTGCATATCATCTAAACCAACTCCTGGTATATTGCATCCTGCGATCTCGGTGGCGAATTTGACCATAGGCACTTTTTCTATTGCATCAACTCTAAGAATTACACGAAAGAAGTAGTGGCGACGGAACTGGTACCTAATAGGTTCCCTGAAGTGCAGAAGCAATGCGTAACATGTGCAGAAGCAATGCGTAAGGCACAAATTTTAATGTATTAGCAACGTATTACAATGTATTACGTATTACAACGTAGCAATTTATTAAAATAAAATAAAAATTCTAGTATTTTATTAAAATTTGAACCAATTGTATTAAAAAATAATTATAATCTTAAACACTATGCTTTGTATACAATTGATATTTTTCCTCTTTAAAAAGGATTGAATGTGACGAAAGGTTGCTAGTTCCGTATATCGATCTTGATCAAGATTTTGTCCAGTTTCCCTGATCCATTGAGCAAATTCTGAGATGGACCCTTGTTTTGTTTCTGAACGTAAGTTTAGCTTCACTATGCGCACGTTTTGTTGAACTCTCCTTTTGATTATAATGGTAAGAGTAGAGGTAAGGACGAGTTACTATTTTGTTAGCAATGCAGAAAAATCATACTTGCAATTCGTTTACCGATGCAAATAAGTTTTTTATTACTCGAAAACGGAAATGTCTATATTTTCAAATATTGCTAATCTTACTGTTTTAAAAATTTATTTTTGAAATTATTTTTATTTATTTACTTTAAACTATTACTCATGTTTCAACTATTTATAGTTAATATGGCAAAGGAAATAATCTCCACAAACGTTTTAATAATTTTTATTAAACATTTCCCAGACTTAACTCTCGGGAAAACACTTTTCCCATCCTCAGTACCCAGGTAGCGTGGATAAAGCATGAACTTTACAAATGGTACTCTATAAGAGATTATCTTTCCTATTACCTTTTTATTTCTCACACCCGTCTTTCTCTATTATGCTCTCCCCTCGAGTTTCCTCTTCTTGGCAGAAAAATAAGGTATATCAAATTACCCCCCCCCTTTTCCCTCAATTGGTAGGCTTCCTCTTCTCCCATTCCAAAAGATAGTTGTCACCTAGCTGTAACCAGCATGTTTTGCCGTTTTCACATTTTTTGTCCACATTGAACATTCACATTGCTTGGGCAGTAAGTAAAATTCTATTTGTATTTATATGATATTATTTGTTTGTTCTTCCACTAAATTCACTGTACACCCCCTTTTTTGTGTTCAACTTGTGTTCAACTTGTGTTAATGTTTTCGTTTCTCCATTTTGCTAGAGATCCACTGAGAATGGGAAAAGTGTTTTCCCGAAAGTTAACTCTGGAAAATTATTAAAACTTTTGTGGAGATTATTTCCTTTACCATATTATGGATTACCACAAGATATCTACTACCACCACGGAATTTATTTATAGTTAAAACGAGGGGAAGAGATTCTGAAACTCAAGAAAACGTGCGCCGATAATCTTCTTCCCCATACGTCACATACAGGTTTTACTGTTTTTTGATTAAATAAATCTAAATATAAATAAAAATCTTATTCCTGGCAATGAAGTACTTACTAGACTCAGCTCGGGTTTTTCCTTGCGGGCCTGTCGTAGAAAGTACCCCAAGAGCACCCCCAGGAGCCAAGGGACATAGCGAGTATACACCGGCCAGTAGTAATACTTCATGGTATCAAAAAGCGTCTGTAACCTGAACATTAATTTAATAAAAGTAAAAATTATAGAAAAAACGGCAACTCACTGTGTTAGAGTTAAAACAAAAAATAAATAAGAAATTAAATATTCAATTTAACAATCGGTATTAGTATTGATATTATGACGTATAAAAGTTTGACCAAAAGAAAAACAATTACGTTACGAATATGCGTTGTATATTAATGATTATCTCACCCTCCAGCGGCAAAGAGAGGGGTGAGCTCCTTGACATAGACGATCGTAAAGGGCACTGCCCATCCAACCAGCAGCAAGAGAGATAACCACGAAAGTACAATCCACCTAGGCAGTTTCCAAAGAGGCAGCAGTACCAATGGAGACAGCCAAAATAACTGCATGTCCACTGCCAGATACCAAGTGTGGCCTAGACACTAAAGGACAAACAAAATGTATTTATTACCTTATTTTCTTCAAGAAAAATATTTAGTAATTTGTAAAAATTTTGTGTTTTCTAAAACGCTAGATAGTGTGATAATAGTTGCAGAATGAATACATCAGTATTGAGAGAGATTAAAAATGATGGTGAGAAAATATCAATGATCAACACATCATTAGACATTTTAATATTTTAATAATAATAATATTTATTTCTTATTATTATGTAGAACCTGGGGTTATTTGGCCATATTTCTTGAATGAAGTCAAGGCAAAAAGCTTTGTTCTAAATATACAAGTAGTCAAAAATACACAGAAAGGCTGCAAGTCTTACCTCTTTCTCAAGTCGAATATATATTTCAAATTCTATAGATGGTCACTCTTGGGACTGTGTCCGAAGTAGTGATAAATGTGGACTGATTTTATAAGAAATAAAATATATGAAATATGTAGACATTATTTCAAAAATGTGACCTAAAATATCTTATAAAATACATTGACCCATCATAGCACTACTTATCATAATTTTTATACACAGTATATTTATTCGACACTTTATTTTTCGGTCACTGAAATTTCGAACAGTACTATTGGTTATTTTATTGAACTATTGGTTTATTATATTGAAGAAGTATTGGTTTTCACAATGGAACGTCGGTCGCTAAATAGTTACACAATTACAAGGCATTATTGTAGCATTAGAACTTCATTTGAATACAATTCGGAAAACGTCTTGGCAACCACCTTCATTCCACAAAAATGGGAAGTTCCTTTCTGTTTCGCATCCTGTTGTATTCACATTTGTAGAGAGAGTCCATTATGTGACTTGTGGAAGTTTTAGGCTTATGTTAATTCATCGACGTCACCTATTTTCAAGATGGACTCCATGGAACGTAATGCTCGAAACGAAAGTTGTTTTTTTTTCTGGTAAATAGCATCCATAATTCATATGCTATAGGAAAATATTAGCTACATTGAACAGCTTTTATAGAAACACAATAAAAAATTAAAAAATAAAATTATGTTAATAAATTTAGAATATTTGTTTAGAACATTACATTAAATGAATAACTTGATATAATGAATAAATGCAAAAGCTATTAAACTGAAAAGTTTAAATGAGCGAGCCCTTATGAATCTAAGAAGAGGATTGAGTACCATTTTGTCCGTATGCACGAAGTTGTTTACGTAGAGGAGGTTGGTCCACCAATTCTGTTCGCAAGCTTCTCGCTGATAATCGTAAACAGTGTTCCACAGAGGGCCGGTTCCCATGTAGTTCAGAAGGCTCACAGTCAGAAGCAGCACGATTGCCAAAGCGGGGGTGAGCCTGTGGAAAGAAGTCTGTGGCTGAAGTGCACACGTCATGGAATGGGAGACACAAATGAGAAGTCCAACTCATAGTTGTCCCTCACAAAGTCATTTTTGTCCTATTCTATGATTCACCAAATTAGTGAGTTAAAAGTTTCACACAAGACATACTTCTTGTATAGTTTTGAAAACCATCAAGAAATCAATTTCAAAATGTCTAAAACGTATACTTCAGGTACATAGTTCTAGTGATAGCAGAAATAACGTAGGTCCTGATCCGACATTTTTGTTTCAAAAACATCAGTTGCAGGGCTTAGAGTATAAGGAATATAAGTTTCCTGAATGTGGTATTGAGAAAATAGAGTTAAAAAGTTACGTGACTGTTGAAAACGCTATGGAAGGCTTTTTCTTTCCACCGGTAGAACTCGACAACTGTTTGAGCCATCGGAATACCATTTTGTATCGATATGAAATGCAGTTTTTATTTTGCATTCCTTTGACTAACTCAAAATTTGCCAAAATGGGCTTATACCCCTTGGCTTTGGACCCCTCAATTGCTGAAGCAAAATTATCTACTGCATTCTGCAACGGCTCCGGACCAATTTTTTTCAATGCAAAATTCTATTAAGAAAATGTGTATAGGATGTTACATACAATAGTTCATCGTTCGGTTGAAATATGTATATCGATAAGCGCTATTCAGAAGAGAAAAAACTAATTAAATTATTCATTAAAAATATTATAAAATAACACAGGTAATTGACAACATGCAATTGCTAAAATTATCTTCGACAATGCAAGTGAAACTAACCTAGTAATATACAGAAGTTTCAGAATATACGTTATAAACTTGTAGGTCATGTAGGATTGTTGAAGATAACACTTGTTGCCAACGAACACATCATGTGTTGAGGGAATTCTCATATAACAAAGTGACACGTGCCATTGGGCTTTAACTTGTACGCAACTCGTCATGCACTGGTGTTCAGCAGGTACACGAAATCTCTTTTTATTCCGTCCGATCGTGACCTGCCAACACAAGTCAATAATACAATAATAATTAGGGGCTAGTGCCTCATGTATAATTTAGGAACAAGAAATTACCCAAAAGTGGTCATTGGTAAAGAGTTATCAAATTCGACTCCCCTACAAGTTCTATAAGTCGTAACATGTATTCCCACACATCGGTATTTACATTGTTTCTTGTATTTTTAAGGTAAAAACACAAGTATATTACTAATAATTAGTGTCTATTTAAGTAACTTAAAACATTCACAAACTGTAACTGCGTGTTGTTCTTTTTGAGATTTACGAACCTGACGTATCTGTGGACGTAAAACTTGACGATATTGAAGTGGTTGGTGCGCTCCACTTCCTTGAGGAAGAGGAAGCTCAACAAAACGCCGCTCATCATGAAGAATGAGTCCACCGACACGGTGGCGTTCGTGATGTACAGCCGCTCGAAAGACTTCATGAACTACAGGAAGAACCACGCAAGGAATTTGGGATAGGGTACATGAGACAACATTATCAAATTGTTTTCAAAAGAAAACAGGTTTTTAGGTTTCACCACCTTCAGCACTATTCTTTCCAGTTAAAATCCCTCCAAAAGTTCACAAGTCATTATATTTTAATAGTACTTTAAGAAGTTTTTTCTTTCCAATAATTAAATTTTTTGAGAAAATTAAGTCTAAAGAATGCTGCCAGACACATTTTTTGAGTTCGTCGATTATGGGCCTTTTAAAATGAAATTGCCTTTGAATACTCGATTTATTGACTTACGTCAGGTGCATAACCGGCAATGTTGAGAGTCGGTGATATGACGTTCAACAAGTAAACGTGGCCGAGTACCACCCAACCCATGCTGATGGTGCGAATTCCGTTGAGACTGGCCAACTGATCTCGGCCGGAAGTTATCGAAATTAGTTTGGGCCAATTGGAGTACACCGAGAAAGCAAGAAATATCATCCTCCGTTGAACTGTTGAAAAAATATGAAAGTTGATTTTGTAATAATTAAATTATATGTACAATTTAGCTTATTTATTTTATTTTGTAACTAATCAAAATGCAAAGTACATATAGTTTTTAAAAGTTCGAATGTACTTATTATTAATGTAATGTTTGCTTACATACTACTCGAAATATTAAGAACTTTATTAAAAAAAATATCGTTTAACTATAAAATGATAAACTATTAAACGGCGGCTATTTCAATTGTATGCTCCGAATAAGTCCTTTAAGAGAAAGAACCAGCAAATATTTAGCTCATATCAGCAGACATTGCAAAATATGTCTTACCTCTATGCTGAGTTAAGACATCATATGCAGTACTCGCGGCAGCACATGCTAAGAAGAAAACTAGTAAACATCTGCAACAAAAATGATGAATTAAATTTTATACCCAATTATAAGTTACATTCATATTTGTTAAATAGCGTCGACACGATTTGAAATGACGTACTTACTGGACATTATTTTTTTAAGCCTAAATTTACTGGGCATAAAACGAGTTTATCTGTACATGCAATAGAAAACATGCACTATAGTCTTTTTTCTGTAATTAAAATCGTAAAAATACTATTACGTTAATGGTTTTATTTAACCGCCCCACTTCTGTAACCATCAGAGAAAATCCGAACGATTTTAGCAAGTTTTTGTTTTACGTTGAAGTCAACGGGCACATTTATTGGTTCATTTCGAATGTCCGTAAAAATTGATAATCCTGGAAGGGTGCTGTGCAAATGACTCCGAATTATCATAGTTTTGCAACATACTCCAAAATTTTCGTGCTCTCATTTTTTCTTTAATTATATATGAAACGTAATTGAGTTTGAAAAGTCTGAATCAGTGATCGCCAGACTGTGGATCGCGAGCTACTAATAGGTCACGAGGCAATTTTGGGTTGATTACGGTCATGCTCAAGTTTGGATAACTTAGTCTTGTTCTATAGAGTTCAGACAGAAGACTTATTTTTCTTGTATACAGTTTTACATTAGTTTTACATTTAATATAAACGTATGTTCATAGACAATAAATGGTAATATTTGACAAAAAACGTTTTGTTTACTGTCTGGTAGCTCACAGTAGAATTGAAAACGGTATGGTTGCTCACAATCTTTACAAGTTTGGCGACCACTGGTGAAAATAAATAAATAAATCAATAAAAGAGCCTCACATAGCGAAAACGTCGAGGGCGCGCAGGTGCTTCCGCGCGTGGGTGTGGCACTCGGACGGGGCCACGGAGGCCTTGAGGTCCACGAGGCTCGTGGCGGCGTTGGCGACCTTGCCAACTTCCTCCGCCGAGCAGGTGGAGGGCGTGCACCAGGCCACTTGCAGCGACAGCCCGGGGAAGGCACTCGCCGCCTGCCTGCCCTGCGCATTACACGCGATCGGGTGAATCCGGCAATCGGAGCTGGGGCTGCCGGCCTGGAGGGCCGAGATCGCTAGGGCCGTAGCTGCCTCGGCGGGAAAGGTCGCGGGTTCGAATCCGGCGTCGGGATGGATAGTTATATGTTCGTATTGTCCTTACGTATTTATTCTACAGTTCCCCCTAAAGTTGAAACAATAACAGTGGTCGCTATATGACCCAGATGTTAAAAAGCGACTATAAAAGAAGCTGGGACTGTATGTGACTTTCATCGTTAGGTCGCTAAGTACCAGAGCTGGTGAATCCTAATTTCATTATTTTTCCTCCAGAAAGAATCACCCAAATGAAATTCAATGAAAAGGTAGTACCAAATAGCTCGGGGTCTTAGCCGACCACATGGTTTTTGATTGATTAGAGTTTTTCGAGTACGTAAACTGCTAAGGTCATTAGTCCCTTTAGTGTAGTGCGTGGTTTGTTGAGGATGGTGGTGGTGATCTTCCCCCGCTGGATGGCCAAATCTGGTGGCAACCTACGCGTCGTCATGAGTAGTTTTCCTCAACCATCTCCCACCAGCGGAGCACCGCCCCAGCTGTGACAAGCTCTAAGCTCCCGACTGGTCTCCCGGAATGTGTGGTACTGTAATGCACGTAAGTGAAGTATGTGTTCAGTAAGGGTGGAGATAGGACGATAGTGCGCGGTACCCCGTTTGCTGGGAGTCTGCTCCGGCATTCGCCTGATGTTGATAGGAGAAACCACTGAAAACTGCCGATCAAAGCAGCCGGCCGCTAGAATTCTCCTTCAGGCAGTGACTGAATTCGACCTAGCTATGTATAGTGTCGAAAATCCTGCCGCCGTCGGAACTCGAACCCTAGGACCTCTTGCTCAGAGACACTGCAGTGTCATCAATTGGTGCCCCGACGCACCTAAGCTTATACATCAGATGGTGACAGTGCCACTGAACCATATAATCTCAAGTTAAGCTTAGGCTGAAAACGTATACTTGGAAAACTGCATACATATCGAGTAGAAGTTTAAAATATGGACTAAAATTGATTAAAAATTAAAATAGTGAAAAAATGTAGAATGCAAATGTTTAAGAAATTTAAGTAGAATGGTCGACCAATTCAATGGTAATATTATCTATACAATAAGATTTAATTAAATACTAAATTAGAATGAGCATCATTATGTGGCTGAAAGTCATTTACTTAATACATACTGCAGGCCAGGTAGCATTGCTATCCGAGTGCCACAACGCTGAAGAGTACGCGTGACAATGGATGCACGTAGAAATGGGAGGGGACACTGGAACTTGGTCATGGGCAAAGTTGCTAGTAGGGCTTTGTACATCCAGTTTCGCGCCTTTTAACTCAAATAAGCACATCCCACTTCTCATCTGATTTTGTAAAAGTACAGTTTTGTATGATACAGTGTTTTGTAACAAAATCGTAATTTTTGTGAGAAGAATTGTATCTTCTGTTATTATTGTAAAAGTTATTTTAGACAAGGTTTAAAATCCCGTTAACATAATTAATCATACAGTAACGAAACGATGTTGCGCCGCTTCAACTTGTCTCAAACAATAGACAATTAAATTGTAGTTGTTCAATGCACAACAGGACCGTCGGGTGTCTCGAAGACAGCGTGCTATCTTTATGTGAGGCGGTCCCCGGTTCGATTGCTGGCCGGGGCAAAACTGAAACTGTACCTTTCTAATACAATTTGTCCCAGTTTCTAACGCCGTGTGACGAAATAAACAGCTCAGATCGACCACGTATGGTAGGTTGAGGGAAATACATCATGATCGCCGCATGACTCCTTTACCCCAGGCGTGAATGTCGGATTAAACCGAATAATATAAAATGCAAAAATACAATGTATTATATGAAATATTGCGCATATTTGGATTTGAATACAACAAAATCGATCCCTTACCTTGCCGACGACTATTCGGCTTCCCTCCACGGCGTGAGCCGCTGAACCCAACTCGTCTGGAGAGTCGGATGCGAGCTCCACTCTCGAGGGGAACTCCAGCGCGACGAGGCAGTGCTGCCCGTCGAAGTCCTCTGGCCCTCCGCTTTCGCCCTTGCGCACCGACAGGCACTCGTCGAAGTTGCCCATGTGCACCAGGTTTCCGTACAACAACCCATCGGGGATCTTAGTGGAAGAGTCGAACACTGCCAGAAGAAGAGCTCCGTTTTAGCGCCTTGAAAACTTCAAGGCATCGCGACATAGTGGTTAGAACACTCTTCTGCTACCCTGAGGGACGCGGGTTTAAATCCCAACTAAGCTGAGAATTTGTATCCGACCATGAATTATTCGGGATGACGGTCCACTCAGTCTTCTTTCCAAAGAAGTTGCGGTATTTGCTGGCTTTATAAACAGTAAATATTGGAAGCAACATTCGGCTGGAGCATTACATTTGCCACATAATATTTACCCCACTTTTGAAGTCACAATAAGGACTACAAAAGGTAACCGGTTCATTTACTGTACACAGAGCCATGAAAGTTACCGAAAATTCAAAAGAATGGAACTTCCTAACATCCTCGAACCCTAAGAAGGTACATACCGGTGCAGTACTAAAAGTACAAAGGGTAAAAATAATGAAGTTTTCCTTCTGTGCAAGTGAATGCTATTTTCGGCTGTTTTAATTATTTCCAATAGCACAGGGATAATGATACAAATAGTTAGCAAAGTTCATGTTAAACACAGAATTTAGGTAAGGAAGAAATAGTTATACATAACTTTCAAAAAATTGTAAAGAATCAGCAATTTTCATCAGCACGTTAAAATATAAAACTCTGTTGTCTACATTGCCTAGCGCCAGATGTAATTGTTCGTACGTGTGCAAATATTCCCACTGAATAAAAATATGGATATTTATTATAAATGGAGTATGTATGTATATTCCTTTGAATAAACTGTTAAAATTATCTATATTTCAAAACATTAAACCTATACTATTGAATTTAGCCTTAAATATTACGCTGTGTCAAGAGTAATACTTGTTAGGTGTCGATTTCGTAAAATATTATATCTTGATCGTATCTGGTAAACAATAATTATTTATTAAACACAGTCAAGGCACATCAATGGCGATGAACTTTGTGGTTAAGGGTTTTACTAACTTATTCATACATTTTAAAGTTTTGTTGTTTATGGTGTTCGTCGACACTTCATACTCCGATATCTGGAAATAATAAGTAGATACCGAAATCTACTTAATCGTGAATCAAATATTTTGGTAAGCTACTGGCTCAACTCTCCTGCATTGTCTGGTTAACTGATGAAGTATAGCGATGACACTACGCTAATTATTACAAACAGTTTTAAAATGTATTTCATTTAAAACAAATCTTCATTGACAGCAAAATGACAATTGTTAATTTATAATTATGTGAGCGTCATATTGGTTATATTCGCATTACATTAGTCATTAAACAAGTGAAACTTGAATACGATTTATCTCATTTCAACAACATTTAAAAAATAAATTATTTGATTTGGTTGTATATAAATCAATTACACAGAACTACACATACATACAAATGGCTTAAAAATTACAATTAACCTAAGCTTCCACTAATACTAATGGAGAAACCAGCTTTCTGTAGCGGATGACGTTGCCTTTATTATCAAACCGTCATAAAGATATGAGCGATATCTCCTCTTACGCCGTAACAATATTATTCCCGAGATACGAAGGAAATGTAGATGGTAATTCAAAACATCACGTCTTTGGTGTCATGTTTGTCGTCTTGTACGGCTAATTTTAATACAATAATAATCTTTAATAGTATGGGAATATTATTTTGTATGTTCATGAAAATTGTTCACACGAATTTGTTGGTAATACTAAACAACATGTCAATATTTCAACAGGGAGTTCGATCTTCTGCGCAAGCGTAGTTCAAGTGTCTCATCATGCATCTGCGCATGCGCAGAAGGTCGACAGGGATGTCCGCTATGGCACGCACAAACTCCCTAATGTCAACCAGGCCGAAAAAACGTATATGGAAGATTATTTTCAACGGAATTTAATCAGAACCAAAGTGCATGTGTACGTACAAAGCGCATGTACAAAATGGTAGGGATCTTGGTAAAGATGCCACTTACTCTTGATGGCCCACACACTGCCATTTCCGAAGGCGCTCGCCATCTC